GGATAAATGATAAGATGTAATAATTTTCATTTTCCTTTACATTATTAATGTTTGTTACTACGTAATCTTGTATGTAAGATAATATGGTGTTTTAGTTTTAATGATTGATAGATTTTAAGTATTATTTTATAAATTTCATGATATTAAATTCCTGCACGAAGCACGGATAATTTTACTAGTTAAACATATATCACGATTCACAACCTGAAGAAATGACGTGTGTTTGAGCTGAAAAAAAAAGGAATTAGGAGACAAACAAATTAGAATACATCTTTATTATAAGGGCTACTAATTATCATTCCTTATTCAATACTAATTAGGCCTTATTTGTTTTAATAAAGAGTAACACAACAATTTTTAATACCTAAAGAAACTATCAATGATAGGCCAATATTTATGTTCCTATTATTTTTACTGATAGGCCAATATTTTGTTCCTTAGTTCGTTCTATTCAGACAAGTGCAGAATGAATTGAATAAAAGGAATTCAACTTTCGAGACTTCACATTGCAATAACTCAATTGTCGCTAAATATGTATTTTTAGCGGTAATTAGGGCTCTTTGTATATGTCACCAAAGCCTTTAGCGACATTGGATCTAATGACACTTAACTAATGCCGGTAAAGACTTTAACACTCTTTATTAATGTGTCTGTTTATTGCCGCTAAAAGTTATTTTTATCGTAGTATAGAGAAAGAATTGTACTACCATAACTCAAAAGCATCCATTAAACAATAAAAGTTGACATACCATAACTCAAAAGCATTCATAAAACAGTAAAAGTTGACAGGTCTTAAGCTAGATGACACATAAAAGCAAAGCATAATATCCAGGAGGAAATAAGACAAATTAAATATTTAAACTATCTCAATCTTCGGATAAGCATATGAGACTTGTAAACTTTCCCCAATGACAGTCTTGAGTGAGTAAAAACTTGGGATGTAGCTAGTCCCTGCAAATCCAAGGTACACTTTAACCTTCGTAAACTTCTTTTCTTTTGGGTTGTAAGAAACGACATGTGTGCCACGATACCTTTGCATCAATATTTCTCCATCTTTCCAAGTTGAGATTGGTATAAATCTATCACAACTGATATCTGGTTGAATAGTATCCTTCCAAATGCGATCTTTAGTCCAAGATTCAGCGATTCCATACTCTTTCATCCACCATATATCAATATACTCACTATGGTAAGTATCACACAAACATAGACAATTCCCCAACTCTACTAGTGTCAAGCCGTAGGATGAAGTTATCAGACCACGCGGGGCTAACATGGATTTCACCTCTTCTGTCCAACTGTTAAAGGAGTAAATGTTGTCATTTTTTTCCGAAGTCATCCAATGAACAACACCATTGACGTTACCCTTACAAAATAATCCGCATAGAGGTTCTGGAACTTCACCCACATTTCTCCATTTCTCATTAACTCCAAGAGTATAAACCTCCAACTCTGATACATGTGGACATCCCTCAAACTTACTAACTACTGATCTCAATACTTTATACTGTCCAGAGGTTTCACTGAAGCAGAATGCATAGGCAACACGCTGAATTCTTTTCTCCCATTTAGGCAATTTGACCTCGAAATATTCACCCAAAAGAGGATTGCTAATGTAAACCGAATGCTCTACGGCATCCCTCGAACCATTAAACAAACAAATGAACCCATTACATGAACTAATTAATGTCAAGTTTTGTGTATATAAAGTTGGGGGGAGGTGAAACCTAGGGCTCAACACAATGGTTCTGTTTAGAGGGTGAGAAACATCATCTTTGAGTTCCACAAGTAACCGGACTGAGTGATTTATCGAAAGCAAAATGCTGGGAAAGTAAGATGATCTTTTGTAATACATTTTACAAAACAAAGGGTCGGAAGTTAAAAGATGATACCAGAGTTTACAAACAATCTTACAATAGAAAATGGACTTGATTGGCAACCGTGAAAGAATGTCAACCATAATCACTATATGAAGGTCCATAATCCCCGTGACATGAGAGATTCTACTTTCTTCGCAATCTCCTTTGAAAAGCTTAGAGCTTTGGGCATCCATGATTGTCATTTCGTTTGAACAAAAAAGGAGCTAGTTTATAAGGTTTAGGTCTTATGGATTGACTGGACTTTCATATATAGTGTGATCCTCTAAAATGACTATAGAGGCTACTTTGAGTTCCACAATTAACCACACAGAGCCATTAATTGAAAGTAATTATTGAAATTTAACTAGCCGTTAGCTAATATTAGATTTTTTTCCTAATATTATTTCTTACACCGACTTAGTATTTAGTAAATAATGAAAGTCTAACTAGCCGTTAGCTAGCTGTTGGAGTGAATCTGTATCTATAAGGTATCACTTTGGAGACTCGAAGCATATATAATTCTTTTATATTCCCAATTTATAGCTAGGAGTTTTTTGTTCTAAGACCAAAGAAAGTAATGATATGTTCTAAAACTTCTAGATATATGTTATTGTCCATGAATGTGCTTAGCATTGGAATTGTTCAAGTATTTATTATAGGTTTATGAATTGAAAAGAAAAAAAGTATCTTCCAAAAAACCTATAATATAGAATTAAATTAAAAATGAATGTTATAATTCACATTCATGTATTTTGTATATTTCAAAACTTTTAACGAATGAATTTCAAAATTAATTGAAATACTTACTCTTACAATTTTCCATTTGTTTCTAGAGTATTCCTACACACTCCAATCGAAATTGATTTATAGACTTATTAAGAGAATATAATCTCATCCTTCTCTTTAGCAAGAATATTGCTAAATTTATCGATACTTTGTTGTAAAGGAGGATGAGATTAATTTCTCTTAATGAAACCATAGACTATTTGGTCGGAGTATGCAAAATTACTCTTGATGAATTCACCGTACTAAGTGCGAAGTGAAGGTCGTTTCAATAAGAGTTTTAACAGGAAAATCTTAAAGCACTTAGCTAGGAGGATTCAAGACACATGGTTGTAAGGTGTCCAAGGATTTTGATTTTCACCGAAACCTAGTGATATGCGTGGAGTATTTGTTTATTTCATTCAATGAACCACTTAGTTCAAGATCCGTTCACTAACCAGTCAATGATTTTTAAAAGTCTTCACTAGCTAATAGTTTAAGTCCAAAAGACACCATTATTGAAGCATGTTGCTAGATTAACGTCTCAAAATATTTTTTAGATTTTTCAAAGATAAAATTTCTTGAAACAAGTGGGGGTTGTAAGAGTTAGTGTTTCAATTAATTTTGAAACAAATTTATCCGTTAAAAGTTTTGAAATATAAAAAATACATGAATGTGAATTTTAACATTCATTTTCGTTTTAATTCTACATTATTGATTTTTTGGAAGATGCTTTTTGTTTAAATTCATGAACCTATAATAAATACAATCTAATTAAAAGTCTTTTCTTGCAAAACTACTTTTCCTTAATTCAGTTTCTTTTGTTTGTAAAAACAAGCACTCAAAAAATTAATTTTCCTTGGAAAAACATTTGAGAGACATTAATCAATTGATGAAATAATACAATCAAACACTGCTTACCCATTGAGGTTTTAGAATTTTGACATATTCATCAAAAGTAGGATTGCCAGTAAATTATGTCATTTCTTCGTGATCCATCCAATAAAGAGCACCATTGACATTACAAAGTTACAAGAACATCTTGTGCTCGAGCTCGTCTATGTTTACTCTGTTGCTATTATCTTTACCTATAGGCCAATATTTTGTTCCTTAATTAGTTCGTTCTATTTAGACAAGTACATAGTCATAAATTGAACCAAAGGAACGCAGATCTGACATAACTTAAAAGCATTTATAAAACATTAAAAGTTGAGCTAGATTACATGAGAACCATAGAAGAAAAACATAATATCCACGAGGAAATAAGACTAATTAAATATCTAAACTATATCAATCTTCGGATGAGTGTATGAGACTTGAGAACTTTCCCCAATGACAGTCTTGACTTAGTAGGCGTTTGGCCATGCAATACCATATCACGATATGGTATCATGAGATGAAATCAGCGTTTGGACATGTGATTTTACGCTGATTCCATCTCATGATTTCATATCATGAGATGTGATTCCATATTCTCCAAAACCCATGATATGGAATTATATGGGAATACGATATCATGATTTGAGATTTTTTTTTAACACAAAAATTGATCCACAAGTTTATATTTTGTTAAAACAACCCCACAGATTTTTGAAGCTTGGAAAAATAGCAAAATACTGAAACAACGCATGAACCATTATGATATTGACACACAAGTGAAAATTGTCATAGCTTGTACAGTGTTATATTAAAATTTGCGAAAAGGAGTAATGAAATATTTATGGTCTATGATCATGAAAATGTAGTTGCGGATGATATTAACCAAAAAATGACTCAAAAGCAAACAATGTCGGTTCTCTTCTCGGTCACATGATCGAGAAATAGCAAGTTCAACGTGAGGAAATTGTCATTATTATGTAGGAAGGATTATATTAAAGACTAGTTCACTACAATTTTATGTTCAATTTTTTTTATTGAATTAAAGTTTGATATAATAGTTACTTAAGTGGGAAACAAATTAGCTTTATAATAATTTATTATGCGATTTTATAATTTTTGTTTATTCGGTAAGATTGAATAAACAATTGGATTATTTTAATAGTTTTACAAGTTATGAGATTTTTTATGTTTATGAGAAAATATATAACACAAAAATTTCATATCGCATTTCCAAACAAAACCTCAATTTCATCTCATGATTACATATCACGATACCATATCATGATTCCGTATCACGATACCATATCGCATGGCCAAACGGGCCTTAGTAAAAACTTGGAATGTAACTAGTAATTAAAATAAAACTTATAGGACTTAAACTGGAGTTTGATCATATTATCCTTGATCAATCAGGACCGTTAGTTTCGTCAAGTAACTTTACAGCCGTAGATTGTTTTCTTTTTATCGCCTGACGGCTGTAAAACCCTAGCAAATGCCCATCTTCTTCCTATATAAACCCTACTATAAGTCTCCAGTTACCCATCAGCCACAGCGGATCTGAAGAAACCCTAATTCGCAGTGAGCCCCTTTTCCTTTGCATGTTCTTTTCAATGTTTAATTTCTTCTGTATCTAATGTTTGTTCTTGTGTAATCGAAGGTAAAGTAGAGTTACAATGGCGGTTCCTCTACTGAAAAAGAAGGTAATCAAGAAAAGGGTGAAGCAATTCAAGAGGTATCAGAGTGATAGGAGAATCACTGTGAAGGTGTTGTTCTATCATTTCTTAAACCCCCCTTTTGTATTAAGCTCATCTTTTTATGGTGACAAAAAGATAGGATTTTGTTGGTTTTTTGTATTGGAAAGGGAAAATGATGAGAGTTATTGTCGCCCCAGTCTTAATTTGCACCCAATATATTGGATTTGCAAGGTGGTGATTGACACATCATATCTGATTCTTCTTGAACAATAATGCGAAACTTTTTTTTGTTTGATTTTAGCGTTTTTCTTCTTATTTGTGGACAATGTGCTTATAAGATGTGAGGATGCTTATCCACCTATTCTGTAGAGTTCAATGATGAATTCAAAACATGCACTACCATCTGATCTTATAGCATTTGTCATCCTTTAAAGTTCTTGGGTTTCTGTACCTCTGTTTTTGTGATTTGGTTCAGTTTTTTCACATTAGGATGAAAATTTGTTTTTTTGCTTGCTATTATTATCTATTGAATTTTTGTTTGTTGGAAATGGAAAGTGATGATAGTTATTGTCGCCCCAGTCTTAAGTTGCATCCAATTTATTGGATTTGCAAGGTGGTGATTGACTCATTATATCTGATTCTTCCTAAGCAGTAATGTTTGTTTTATACTTGGTTTTTGTTTTATTTAATTTGATGCTAAGCTTGTTTGTGGAGACATGATATATGATGTGATGATGCGTATCCACCTATTCTGTAGGGTTCAATGATGAATTCAAATACATGCACTACCATCTGATCTTATATCACATCTCACCTTCTTTGATGTCCATTTTTATCTCTATTGTGATTTATATTAAAAGTTCTGCAGTGTTTATTCACTGATGCGGTCAATGATGATTTTTTCCCAAATTGCTGATTGACAGTGATTAATATAAAAGATCACCATCTTTCGGCTGAGATTGCATCTAGAACCAATTTGTGCACTATTTTCCCTTTGTTTTTAATCACTTCCTTCAATTTTCTATCAAATTATTTGTTGCCTATGGTATCTAATGTCCAGACTTTACTCTGTTGCTGGGTGTTTCGTTTTTACGGGCAGAAATTATACTATAGAGCAGGTCTTGCGACACAGTTGCTTCTTTATCAATAAGCTTTCTGTTACTTTAACCCTGCTTACATATCTTTTATTAAAGATGATAGTATTTTTTGGCGCAATAAAATCTCTGCAATGTTATTATTCTATTGTTTATAAACAGCATATTTTTAGTTTTAGCTTCAATGTCATTGTATTGTTCAGTAATAGTGGAAACCATTCTCTTTTTCGTGTTACATTAGCATGAAATTTGTTACCTTGTTTGTTGTGCTTATTTTGTTGATTTTTTGTATTCGAAAGGGAAAATGATGACAGTTATTGTCGCCCCAGTCTTAAGTTGCATCCAATTTTTTGGATTTGCAAGGTGGTGATTGACACATCATATCTGATTTCTCTTAAACAATAATGTTGAAATTTGCAATCGTTTAGCTATTTTCTCTTGCATCTAATCTTGTTTGTTGATGTTATGCTCATTAGGTGTGATGATGCTTATCCACCTATTCTGTAGAATTCAATGATGAATTCAAAACATGCACTACCATCTGATCTTATAGCATATCTCATCCTTTATCTGTATTGTGATTTGGTTTGAAAGTTCTAAAGTCTTTAATCATTGATGTAGTCAATGATGATTTTTCCCAAATTACTGATTGACAGTGATTAATATAAAAGATCACCATCTTTCGGCTGAGGTTGCATCAAGAAAAATTTGTTCATTATTCTCCTTTGGTTTTTAATCACTTCCTTCAGTTTACCTTCGCATTATTCTTCTTCTTTTGTTTTTAATCACTTCAGTTTACCTTCATATTATTTGTTGCCTATGGTATCTAATGTCCAGTCTTTACTCTGTTGCTGGATGTTTCGTTTTTACGGGCAGAAACCAACTATAAAGCAGGTCTTGCGACACAGTTGCTTCTTTGTCAATAAGCTTTCTGTTACTTTAACCCTGCTTACATGTCTTCTCTTAAAGGAGATTGTATTTTGTGGCATGATATATCTCAGCAATGCTAATATATATTATTTATAAGCAGCATCTTTTAGTTTTTTGTGAACATTATTATGAAATTTATTTACCTTGTTTGTTGTGCTTATTTTGTTGATTTTTTTGTATTGGGAAAGGGAAAATGATGACAGTTATTGTCGCCCCAGTCTTAAGTTGCATCCAATTTATTGGATTTGCAAGGTGGTGATTGACTCATTGTTTCTGATCCTTACCTAAACAATAATATTAAATTGGATATTTGTTTGGCTTTAGCTTTCCTTGTTTGATGCTAAGCTTGTTTGTGGAGTTATGCGAATAAGGTGTGATGATGCGTATCCACCTATTCTGGAGGGTTCAATGATGAATTCAAATACATGCACTACCATCTGATCTTATAGCATATCTCATCCTCCTTTAAGGTTTTGGTTTCCCCATTTTTATCTGTATTGTGATTTGGTTTGAAAGTTTCTAGTGTTAGTTATGCAGTCACTGATGAATTTTTCCCATAATTGCTGATTGACCAGTGATTAATATAAAAATATCACTATCTTTCGGCTGGGATTGCATCTAAGACAATGCTTTGCAATACTATTCTTCAATTTCTTTTGTTTAAAATTTTGTTGCCTATGGTATCTTATGTCCAGACTACTTTGTTGCTGGGTGTTTCGTTTTACGGGCAGAAATTAAACTAGAGAACAGATCTTGCGACACAGTTGGCTTCTTTATCAATAAGCTTTCTGTTACTTTAAGCCTGCTTACATCCCTTAAATCTTTCAACCTTTTCTATGTATATTTAGTAGTATTCAACACTTCACTTGATTATAGAGAAATTTTTGTTTGAGAACATTTGAAGAGTTTGATTTGTTTCACTTGCCTTCATGTGCGCTAGGTTTACTAAGTGGAAGTAATTTTCATTGTATTGTATTATAACAGACAAATTGGCGCAAGACCAAAGGGTATTGACTCCAGAGTTAGAAGGAAGTTCAAGGGATGTGTCTTGATGCCCAATATTGGATATGGTTCCTGACAAGAAGACTCGCCACTATCTTCCCAATGGCTTTAAGAAGTTTGTTGTGCACAATGCAAGTGAACTTGATATTTTGTTGATGCTCAACAGTTAATGCAAGAGAGCAAAATTCGTTTGCTTATTCCATCTTTGCTTACTTTGTGACCTCACTGTTAAATTCTTTCTCTTATTCACAGGACTTGCTGTGCCGACATTGCTCATAATGTATCCACGAGGAAAAGGAAAGAAATAGTCGAGAGAGAATCCCAACTTGATGTCGTAGTAACTAACAAGCTTGCTAGGTTGCGTAGCCAGGAGGATGAATGAGCTTTCTTGGTTCAAGGGTTGTCAACAGATTTTTGATACTGTAAAATTTCATTAGGTGTTTGTCATACTCAATACCTTGAGAATATATCCTGTATCTTATTTCAATAGGATAGATGTATAGGGTATGTTATTGTTTTACCCTATATATTCTGAAAAAAAAAATGCACTTATCTTTACTGTAAATCAATAATTTGAACAGTAAATTTAATTTAAGAAAACCTAGAGTTCATCCATAATCAACTGGCAAATGTGTAGCAATGTAATTTTTGGATGTACAATTAGTAAAGTAATAGAGTATAATTTTCTTCACTTTCTTGTAAGAACTAAATAATTATGGTGTACCTTTATTATGATACTCAAAAATACAACACTATAACCATGAAATATTAATGGTCATATATGAGAGGACTCTCGTCTGGACAAGTATTATCAATGCAACATGAATTATGCTTGAATATTACAGAAAGATCCACTTTCACATCCAATCAGCGGACTTTGCATCATTAATCAAATTCTACTTGCAACAAAAAAAAAAAAGTGTATCACTGCACATAGGACTTTTCAATCAGGAGAACTGAGGAGGTGTGTTCATGGATAAAAATCTGAGGTTGATGGGAAATTGGAAGGTTTTCAGCAGCAACAACACGAAGACAACATCAGCTATAGCAATGCTGATGGATCAAAGCCTTATATTCAATGCTAAGCAGATAACAGCTCCAATATATTTCAAGTGAGAGTCTCTTTTGTGTCAGCAGCCATGCAGGTATGATTCAAGTATCTTAAGGCTGAGGCAGGAATCAAACAACTACCGTTTCCAAAATTTGTGATAAAATTTCTTACAGGTGTATTTCCTGTTTGCAATGGCAGGAACATTATTGGCATATTCTATATTAGACGACTTTCTAATAATCTCTCCTCCCCCAACCCCCTCTCAGAGAGCAAGATTTCTATGACTTAAAGCTCCAATAATGAAATATATCTCTCTATCTGATCGCTGTTGGAAAGATCTGTCGATGGAATCTTCCTATGCTGATTAATGCAGAATAAACCAGGGGTCTCTATTTGCTGATATAACTTGGGAACTTCATCTACTGCACAATTAAGTACCAGCCGCTGACGAATAATTCTAACTCCAAGAATAGAAGATCTACAAGATTGACATGAGCTTATTAGTCTGTAGTGGTTGCCTCGACTTCAAGTATATTTGGTCAATCATAGGACAGTATCAGAAACATTTTAGACATGGCTTTAAGATCAGCTGCTATAGACATATGAAGCAGAGGATGCCAATATCTGATTTCTTCACGGGTAGCATGAACAAGAGGACCCTACTATATTGGTGCAAAGCATTTCAGAGTGTTGGCCCAATACAACTCTGGCAGTTTCCTAAAATTAAATGTGGTCCTGCTTCTGGTGAACTAATTACCAGACTCTGCTAACCATTTCCACAGTGATTATCAAAAGGATAATGCTACCAATAATCTGAACAAGAACAAAAGCCATCCCTGAAGTGATGAAAGCGGCTAGAATCTCTTACTATGATTTCACGATCAACAATTTTCGCTATGAGCTTGATGGCAGAATGACAGTCCCCACAGACACGCAGGTTCTTCATTACTGTTATAGCACTACCATGTGTTGTAATTAATGCAAAGCAAATAGCAAGCCTCTCACTATGATATGACAGCAGAACTTCCTTCTGTTCATCCTCTACGTCATGCAATGCATATCTTTGATCAGGGACATAACCATATTCCTTCAACTTTTCCGTCAACCATTCCAGCTTTTCGTATATCCCATCATTTAGAGGATGTGAAGTATCACCAGAAAGAAATGTATGCCGGATTCCCTTCTGATTAACCCAACTGCATCCTGGTTGTTTTGTGTTTCCTCTTCTTCTCATATTTCCTCTAACTCTTGCTACATCATTCCATCTACCAGAGAAGGCATAAATGTTAGATAGCAAAACATAAGCAGCACTACAGTTTGGGTCAAGATGAAAAATGTTTTCTGCAGCTCTTTCGGCCAGTTCTAAGTTTAAATGCTTCTTACAACCACTAAGCAAAGCTAACCATATTGACAAATTTGGTCTCATGGGCATGCTTTTCACCAAATCCTCTGCTTCATTTAACTTCCCACTTCTGCAAAGAATATCTACCATACAACTATAATGCTCAAGTGTCACTTCAATGGATGAACTTTGGGGGATATATTGAAATAAGCGTCTTCCTTTCTCTAGCATGCCAGAATGGCTACAAGCAGCAAGTAACCCAGTAAATGTAATATCATCCATATCAGCCCTTGAACGAACCATCTGGGCGAACAATGTGAGTGCCCAATTACCAAATCCATGTTGTGCACATCCAACGATGATTGAGTTCCATGAAACTATGTTTTTTTCAGGAATCTCCTTGAATGCAATGAGTCCATCGTCTATATTTCCACATTTTGAATACAATACAACTAGAGAATTGCCAACAAAGGCATCAGTGTTCAATCCTAGTTTGACTGCTACACCATGAATCTCTTTGCCAAGATCAATTGACTCCATTTCACAGGATGAATTTAGGGCACTAGTGAAGGAAGACTGATTCGGAAGTAGACCAATCCTAATCATGTCCCCAAACACTTTCAATGCTTCTTTGTGCTTATAATTCAAACCATACCCTGTCAAAAGAGACGTCCATACAACTATATTTATATGCAACCTCTCACTGAATACTTTAGAAGAATCATCCATGTGCATGCAATTAGCATACAATGTGATTAGTGAAGCAGTGACATAAGTATCATATAGATAACCAAGCTTCACAACACAGGCATGAATTTCACTACCTAGACCTAAATCCCTTGCATTAGCACAAGCTGTAATAACAGAAGCAAAAGTACTAGAAGTAGGTTCAATGAAGAAATCTAGCATCTTCTTAAAAATCAACAGAGCCTCATCACTCCTCCCATACTGATCAAGCCCACTAATAACCGACGTCCACGAAATCACATTCCTGTAAGGCATCAGCTCAAACAACTTAACAGCCTCCTCAACTCTTCCGTTCTCAAAATACCCATAGATCATAGCATTCCAAGCAGCCACATCCTTTTGTGGCACCTCCGAAAACAAACTCTCAGCCTCTTTAACCTTTCCAAACTTCAAAAACCCGCTTATCATTGTTGTGTAAGAAATTACATTTCTTTGGGTCATTTCTTCAAATAGCTTCAAGCCCATGTCCATATTTCCACACTCTACACACCCTTTAATCATCAAATTCCACATAACCGTATCTTTCACAGGCATTTTGTCAAACAGTGTCAGTGCCTCATTTAACCTTAGATTTTCAGCATACCCATCTATCATTTTGGTGCATAAATAGATATTTGGAGATGGGATTCTTTCAAAAAGCTCTTTAGCTTCATCAATTCTTCGGTTCTTTAGGTGGTCAGATAGAATTGAATAGCAAGTGGGGCTAGTTACTCTGAAGAATCTTGCTAAACCAATTAAAGATCTTGAGATATAGCAACGAGGAACAACATAATTAGGCATGAGAAGAAGCCAGTGAAGAAAGTTCACTATATGGTTTTAACGGTATTTTGAAGGCTTCAACGGTTGCCTCAAAGAAGAGGAAAAAAAAAAGACTTAGGCTGATAAATGACACTAACACTTACATACCAGTGTCATTTTTATGAGATTGACAGTGATGTTACACATTAGCGGGCTGAATGAAATTGAGGTTAGTATCTGTGGTCTCGTGTGATAAGAATGGGCTATCAAGACTTAAAAAGGTAATTAGGAAAGATAGAATTAGTAACGAAGATATTTGGGATAAGATGAAAATGACTTCCATAGTGGATAATATGGAGTCCGGAGCCTAAAGGGCAAAAAAAAATTGACAAAAATTTCAAAAGGGCACATCAATTTTTTTTTAATCAAAGGGGCAAAATCGCTAGTTGGGTAGCGATTTTGTTTTAACGCCGTTACTCCATTAAACAATCAAAATCGCGACCTACCAGCGATTTTGTCCAAATTTTTTTTCCATTTTTTAAAAGAACATCGCTGCCCGTGCAGCGCTTTTGGGGATTTTTTTTTTAAAAAAAAAAATCGCTGCTATGGCAGCGTTTTTATAAAAAATATATATTTTTAAAATTAAAATTATATTGAAAATCACTCCACAGATAGCGATTTTAGTAAAAAAAAAATAAAAAAATCGAGTGAAAAAAAATAAAAAATTGGTGAAATTATTATTTTTTAAATGGCTAAATTATTTCACCAAAATCGCTGCCAAGGCAGCAATTTAAATTTATTTATTTTTTTACTAAAATCACTACCTGCGAAGCGATTTTTAATATAATTTTAATTTTAAAAATATTTTTTATATAAAAACGCTGCCATAGCAGCGATTTTATTTTAAAAAAATAAAAAAATCCCCAAAAACGCTGTACAGGCAGTGATGTTCTTTCAAAAAATGGAAATTTTTTTTGGACAAAACCGCTGGTAGGTGAGCGATTTTGATTGTTTAACGGAGTAACGGCGTCAGAACAAAATCACTACCCCACCAGCGATTTTGCCCTTTTGGTTAAAACAAAATTTGATGTGCCCTTTTGAAATTTTTGTGAAATTTTTTTGCCCAAGGCTTCGGACTCGGATAATATGAGAAAAGTGAAATTAAGATGGTTCGGTCATGTGAAGAAGAGATGCCCGAATGCCCTATTGTAAAGGTGTGTGAGGTTGGTTATACCGCAATAGTAGGTCTAAGGAGAGGTAGATATATGACGAATAAGTATTAGTGAGAAATGATTAGACTGGACACACACCTATAACTTATCAAATACATGACTCTAGATAAGAAGTTGTGGAAGTCAAATTAGGGTA